ATATATATATATATATACATAGTATATGTATATGTATATATATATAGATATATATATATATATATATGTATATATATATATATATATATCAAGCCCTAGATATACTATACACTATCGCCCTCAAGGGTGTATTCATAACACACTATAAACATCAAGAAATAAACGTAGTACACACCTGGGTGGTAAATAGTGCGGCGGTGGCTGCTTCTAGTTCAGAGAATAATTGTTCCGTCCTTCCTTCGTCCGATCCCTGTGCCTGAACCTGAGCCGCCTGAACGGTGTCAAGGGGCAGATAGAGATGGTCAATTTGTCGGTCTGCGTATATGGTTCAATTAGAATGCATGCTTTCGCATATTCAGTTGAGTGTTGAAGAATGTTTATTTTGGTAGGTGTACACAACATAGTATAAGGAAATATATTTTTATGTAGCTGCCACTACATAGATATTTGATCCGATTTGGACTATAAAAAAATTATCTAAGGATATACATGTGAATATTTATATACCATTCGAAACACGCAGGCTATGATTTCATATTACATCACGAACACGCTAAATAGTGCATACACGTTTCGAATAGAGTACGCTCATTCGTTTCAGAACACGGTATATGTATATATATATATATATGTATATGTATATACATATATATATATACAAAGGGATCTATCGGGTGAAAAGTAAAACTGCGCATGCAAGTGACCATCCCATCAAGCTTGCACCCTCCAGATGTATACACAAACTCTCTCACGAGCTCGGAATGAACTAGACATACAAATGCACACACTACATTACAACACCTACCTTAGCTCTCTCCAGGTCTTGCCTGAGTAAGTCCATAAGCGTCTCCTGCTGCGTGTTGTGTTCTTTCGCCATCGAATTCTGCTCCTCCAACGACGACTTCTCAGAGCTCAGACTACTTATGATCTCATTGCTTTCGGCCTGTTCAGTTTCCTGTCAGTTTGAGGGTTAGTAATGAAGTTGATCAATAATCAAAGAAATATGCTCATGAGTTGAAGTTAGTTGTTGAGTATAGTGCATTTGGCACCCCTCCTACACCTTCACCTCCCATTATGATATCTCAGGTTTCAAGTTGAGGATAAAACTGATGCCTCGACTGGTTCAGTCTCCTGTGCGGCTGTAGAATGGTGGCGATTCTTATGTATTCTGCGATGTCAATGTGTGCCAGTTGTGTTGTTGTATATTGCACGAGAGATATTTGAATACATATTCCGATCCAGGCAGCCAGGGGATAGAGCCTGACCTGTACAAGTTACAAAGCAACCGTAGTCGCCCAGGAGGCCTACCTATCTCTTACCTGCTTCAATTGCACTTCCTTGAGTGTGGTGGTAGTCTCATAGTACTTCTCGGTGGTCTGGTTCAGATCCTCGATTGTTTCATTGAGCTTCGCGGTAGTTTGATTTAGTTGGTCCTGCAGGCGATGTACAATCTCAGCCTGTTCACTCTATTGGCCCGTGAGACAGTGTTGAGAGGAAAATATAAGGAAAAGATAATTTAAAAACCAAAACATAGTTTCTTAAAAAATAAGTTAGGGAATTTCCAACCTTGAAGACTTCGCATATAAATGTATCGCACTACAAACAAATTGATACTTGTGTCGAGATGCATTGCGAGCTCGTGGATTTTCGAATGAAATACAAGATGTATTGATTTTAAGCAAAGGGTGTACCTATTTCAAGCAATTCAAACATACTCACTCCGATCATATATCAAACTCTCGGAGGTTTCAATCAACTCGATGCACTTACATATCTAATACAACACGATTTTGCACGCATTACACAAGTGTATTCTCAGTAATTATAAACTTTATAAGTTTATGTACAAGGCAAATGCATATTGATCATATACACGCACAGGAATCTGAAAACCTAAAATATACACTGACGAATATATGTTAGATTTAAACATGGTCAGCTATAAAAACTACCTAAATGCCTACATACCTATATATAAATATATATATATATGTAATGAATATATATATATATACATATATATATATATTAAACACCATGTGCATGCATACATGCATACACGCACACACACACACACACATATATATATATATATATATATATGTGTGTGTGTGTGTATATATTTATATACTTATATATAAATGTACATTTGTAATTTGACGTATCACTGACGGTATACGATTCCAATATATCGACATATCCCCTCGTTGCACCGCTTAAACGATTTTTGCTATAAGGTGACTTTAGTTCCCCTATCCATTCAAAAAAGAAAAGTAGAGAGCCTCTTATCTATCGTCTTTACCAACAACCATCTTTATCATCTCAGCTGAACAAGGTTAATCATACTCTCACACATAGTCGGTTCTTACCTGCGCTGCAGCCGCCTCAGCCGATCCCTGGGTGGCATTGGAGGTGTTCCCATTCAGTGCCGAGCCTACACTAACTAGAGACGCGGCACTCACAGACGGGCTTTCACTAGAATTTGTGTTCGTCCGAGAAACGGTATTCGAGCTCTGGTTGCTATGGTAACCCTGGCTGTGGTTGGGGTAGTAGTTGTGTGCTTGGTGGGGGGGCTGTGTGTAAGCATTCATACTCTGCTGCTGTTGGTGTATTGGTTGTTGTTGTTGTTGTTGGTAGTGTTGCTGTTGCTGCTGCATGTGCTGTTGTTGCTGTTGCTGGTTGTGCTGTTGTTGTTGGTGTTGGTGGTGGTACTGCTGCTGTTGCTGTTGCGTCATTTCACCAATGGGACTGTGCCTACCGTACTGCTGACCTTGTGCCGGGGGTGAAGCTGAACATAAGTCAAGGGAACAGTTGCGCATAGTGTGATGAGCACAATGTATGGTATGATATATTTTCTTGAGACAAACCTAAAACGGAGTATACTTCTAATGCAACTACCTCCAGTGTGTAGGTAAAGTGGTGGCGACAGGTTTGTATATCGTATTTGTAAAACATGTATTGATCAGCCCCCGCTGCCGAAAGGAGGCGTAGAGTACCTCGAGTATCGATGCATATACCCAACGACTAACATTGGAATAACTGTTGGGTGCCCAGCCCTAATAAAATGATTAAAATAGGTTTCGAGCCAAAATGACAGAATCTAAAATGCGGCGAGCATCGTGTCCCTGCGTGTACAATAAACACATAAGCTTGACGACCAGACGAACGAATGTGTGCATTTAACCTTGACTACTTATAAACAGATGTATCCGCACGTCCATAAATCTGAGCATATTTGTATATTCATATAAATATACAGAAAAAAAATTAACGTATTTAAAATTCTGTTTATGTCTCCATCCAGCCGAACAGTATATATATATATATATACATCTAAAAAGGACAAAGTACATGTAACAGTCTATTGATATACAAATATCATTATATATAGATATTTATACTATAAAAATATATAAATATAAGCAAATACATATATATATATATTTATATATATATATATATGTGTGTATATATGCATATGCATATGTTTATGAATACCTATATGTCCATTAAAATATATCTATATATATCTATACAACTCTATACCGATATCTATACATATCTATACATATCTATATATATATATATATATATATATATATATATATATATATATATATATATATATATATATATATATATATATATATATATATATATATATATATATATATATATATATATATATATATATATATATATATATATATATATATATATATATATATTATATATATATATATA